AACCCCGGAGGGTGGTGGGGTGGGGCCGAGGGGGTCGGGGCTGGGGCACCAAACCAGTACTGAGTGCCTGGGGGCGGTGGGGCTGGAAACAGTCCCCACCACATTTCTGGTCGCTGAAGAGTGTTATTTTCTGAAATGTTATTTCCCAGCTGTCATTTTCCCCTCGAGCCCTACTGGCAGCAGCCTGAGTCCACATGCCCCCAGCCAGGCTCCGGAGTCCTTACCGAAAAAAGTGCTGGTCACTGCGTCCGTGTCCTCGTGTTTCTGCTGGAGGTCCCTCAGCTGCTGGGACTCCTGACACACATAGATGGTCAGTCTGGGCCGCACCATCCTACGGGCAGAGCAGTGAGTGAATGCCATCGGATCTGCCCAAGGACACCTTTAGTTCCTGACACTTTTTGAGGCCTCTCCCCTCCCCAGCATCCTCAGAAGGAAAAGAGCAGACTGGCAAACTCAAAACCATCACCGTTGTCCCTGCCTCGCTGATGCAGTGAAGGTTTTTGTGAGAAGGGGCCAATGTTGGTATGGAGACAATGCCAGCTGGCTGCTGAGCAGCTAAACTGGACAGTTTGCTCCTGAGGACAAGTGAATGTGGCTCAGACCGAGCTCTGCTGGGAACACACACACTCCTCGTTCAGAGTCACTGTGCAGTGCCAACGCCAGCAGCGTCTCCTGTCCTTCGTGTCCTTCTCCCCAGCACGGTGTGGCCATGTCTGCACGCTGTCTCTGTAGTGCCAGAGGCAGCCCATTAACCCCAGGAACACTCCCAACCCATGCAGCTCCTGCTGCCCTGTACCAGACCCTCCCCAGGCCTTTCCTCCAGGACACAGCCCACCCTGCACCGCTGGCCTGGCTGCAGCAGCGCCTTCCGAAACGCTCCAGCTCAGACAGGAGCTCGGTTAAGTGCTGGCCCCTGTTCCTCAGGGGAATGTGCAAAGGAATATTCCCTTTCTGGGAAGGTAACTTCACTGTGAGACGGTTCTGAGGATGGAGTATCATACTGCAGGACTTTCAGGCTTGTGCCGTGGTTCTCTGACACTCAGAGAGTAATGTCATTCCTAACACTTCTCTCCCACATCCATTTTCTTCCCCAGACTGTCTCTGGAGCGGTTACCCTGTTGGCTAAGTTACCAAATTTGACTGAAGGAGGTTCAGGAAGGTTAATGAAACTGTTCTCTCCAATAGCAAGAGCAAAGCAAACAGGCTGAACCCAGTACAACTCACCAACCTCCCCAGCCAGCTCGTGAGCAAACGACGTACCGTCCTTTCAGCGCGTTGAAGAGCCTGATGCCATCCGCAGGGCCGCAGATCTGGATAACGTCCTCCCGGGTCAGCTTCAGCAAGTCTGCACCTAGGTTTAAAAATCAACAGGAGAGCAAGTCACACAACCCAGCCCAAAGCATGCAGGATGGGAGGGCTCCTCCTGTCCACAGAGCTTGCCCCATTCTGCCTTCTGCTGACAGCCTCTCGCTGCTCCCCCCAGAACGACACTCACAAGGTCTTTTTCCAGACTGGTTTTGCAAGAGTCTCCTTGGTACAACCCTGTAAGTCATGCTGCCACTTACAGCCTCACCCTGGTAACAAGGCCATATTGCCAGGCCAGGAGAGGGAAAGAAACAAAACGTGTCCCTAGGCACAGTGCTTCCCCTAGATCCATGCTTCTCAGAGGGTGCTGAGGGCTCTTGGAGGAGAAACCAGCCCAGGCCCTGCTATTTGGCCAGTTGAGAGCGAGGTGAGAAAGAACACAGCTTTCAGGGAGCCACATTTTACTGTGTTACAAAACCCATGAGGTTTGAAAAAACAAAAAAAGCTGATATTTGCAATGATGCAATGAAGATAGCCAGAGGAGCAAGAGGAGGCAGAAGAACTGGGCACAGAGAAGGGGCAGATGTGGAGGGGATGTTGCAACCTACCTGAGAAGTTTCTGAAAAGCCGAGAGAAAGTGGAGAAGCGGTTTCGGTGCAGCCACTGCTGGGCCTCCTGGGGTGTGCTGGTGGGCAAGAGGTTCTGCAATGCAGGAAAAGAAGGGTCACGGCCTCAGAGCTGACATGGAAGCATCTCTGCTGAGGAATGAGCACAGGTCAGCTCAGTCAGTGTTTGTAATCACAGCCTTAAACGGAGACCCCGGCGAGCCAGGCTCACAGCACACACACAAAGGCTGCAGCCCAGGCAGGTTTTGATTTAGAAAGTTTCAGAGGCTGAAGTGCTGGGGTTTAAATCCCGAGCCCTGAATGAGGGTTGGCATATGGATGATGTGCATGATTAGGCAAGGAAGAGCCTCCTAAATAGTTTTCACTCAGGGTCTGGCCAGCCTTGGGTGGGAACCAATTAGGAGATCCCCACCAGGTGCCCCTGCTTTCGACATTAACACCTTGCCCTGCCTCCAAGTCAAACACATAAAAGCTGCCTCCTCTTGCAGTGGAGTTGAGGAAAGGTCACTTATATAGTTGGTGTACTGTGGAGGGTTTTCTAGTTATCAGAAGGGGCTCACTGACTCTGCTACAAGCAGTTACCAGTGATGGTGGGACAAGATCCAGGTGGAAAGAGGATTGTGTATGTAATGATGCCTTTCTCTGACAGTTATTACGGTATGGTTGGAACTAGACTGATAACTTGGTCTCTGGCTTGGCTCACTCCTCCTCCTGTTACATTATGCACCCTGAGTGAATACCTTGATTTGATTACTCCTCCTGTTGTGTATCACTGTACCTCTTCTGTATTCTGTGGAACAGGGTAGTAAAATCTGGCCTGTACGCCTACAGCTAAGGGCTTTATCTTTCATGCTGGGGCAAGTGGTCAGCAAAGGAGAGGGATGGAGTAGGAGTAAGGAGCAAAAGGGAAACTCAGGGAAGATCAAGGCCGTAAGCAAAGGTCATGGTGAGTGGCAGAAAGCTTGCTCTCAGCTCTGCATTGCTGTGCTGGGCCTTTCTCACCCTGCTGCCTTTTTCTGACTAGGAGTCAAAGCCAAGTTATAGCTGCCCCAAGATGTTAAACTGGAACAGTCTCTTCCCTGGCAACCTACAGCCACCCGTGAACCCGCCCCCACCCCGTCCCCAAATCCGGTTTTCTGACCTGTGCACCATCCTTACCACAATCATAAGCTCTGAGGTGTGACTTACATCTGCGATCGGCGGGGGTGGCTCGGGCTGATGGTTGGGAGAGCCATTGCTGGGTCAGGAAAGAGCCAGACAGAGCAAACGTGGGTTAGTGCTGCTCCTCCTGCCTGGAATCCCGGCGGGCAGCAGCCACCACCCTCCCAGTCCCACCACCAAGCCCACAGGAACGCAGGGACAGGCAGCTGCGTGGCTGAGGCAGCCCAGACACTTGGCAAGAGCACGGAGCTGCTGTGGGAGTATGAGCGTGCTGGGGAACGGCAGAGCAGAGTGGAGCTGGCTGGGAGCTGAACTGCTGCTCACTCACACGCAGGCCTCCCCTGCCAGCCCAGCTTTGCTGCAGCCAGGAGAGGGGACAGAGCTCAGCCTCAAGGGCTTTCATTGGATTTTCCCCCACTGACACAGACCCCGAGGCTGCTGCCCGCCTCGGAACCCAGCCCCTCCTTTCGCTAGCCCCTCGGCAGAGCAGAGTGGAGCTGGCTGGGAGCTGAACTGCTGCTCACTCACACGCAGGCCTCCCCTGCCAGCCCAGCTTTGCTGCAGCCAGGAGAGGGGACAGAGCTCAGCCTCAAGGGCTTTCATTGGATTTTCCCCCACTGACACAGACCCCGAGGCTGCTGCCCGCCTCGGAACCCAGCCCCTCCTTTCGCTAGCCCCTGCTGCCAGCTCAGCCACACCCACCCCTCGTGCTGGCTGGACCATC